TATGGAAATAGCTGGATTTCGATGAAAATACATTCCCACAAGCAGAACCGTGTTAGATCCTTATTAACGAGAAATGTCGAACAATTATACGAACTTCGTAACAAGATCTCGAGCCCCATGCTTGCAACATTGGAGTGTTATATCATTGTATTCTTAACTCGAAATGAATCGGATCGAAACGATTTCTACGAAGACGGTAATTGTTGCGGTATTAGAGATCGATCGACGGATGGACGCGTGAAACAGGGAAAATTATAACCCGGCTTTCGAACGGCGTCAAAACTCGTGCGGTAAATCTATTTCAAGTGAAACAAGGCCGCGCGTCGTTCGGTCGCATTACACATTTTTACTCGATTCGTCCGAATTACCATAAACCTGTCGGGCATACGGCCCAGCTTCATCAAACCGTCGCGGCGCGTTACATGCGTTGCATACGGCTTCTACTTCCAGCAAGTCCGTCCTACTAAGCAGATTTCTTTATTCGCACCTCCCTCGGATCGACACAGATAATTCGCGATCACTATCGATCTCCAGTTAATCATGCATGCTAAAATATAACGAATCAAGTCCTCCCGGTATTTATAGCGCCACTGTCTGACTACTGACCCTTTCACTACTGGCACGCGCGTTTATATGCATCAACGTCACTTATCGATCCTAGAGTCATTATGCGAGTCACAATCTCATTACGCGCGGCTCGAGTAATCTCTCTTTCTCTAAACGAACGCATTCTCTGTCAGGGACTAATCAGGTTCTACCGGCTTCGCACGAACGCGGAAAAACATGTATGCAAAGGAGACTCCTTGCGTCTACATAGTAGGTATGTACTTTCCAAGATATCGGTCAATTTTTATACCCTTTTTCCTCGAAGTAGTATAGTCATCGTTGATGCATTTTGCGCCTCATTTATTTCGCGTGCATACGCGATGATCGCGCAATTTCGCGTTACGCAACGCGAAATTGCCGGTCGATCAACGAGTATCGATTTCGATTGATTGTAATTATTGCCGATACCGCCGGTCCGCGTCTTCCTTTCCCGCAAAAACACGCGTTAGGAAACCCGGCCCGTTCGGCGAGCTCGATGAAAGTTTGTGTAGCTGGAATCACATCGAATGAGGAACCATTACATAATTGAAGAAGCGGCGTAGCATTTATGCAATATGAATAGCCAGAACGCCCACCCACGCTGCGTCTTTCACCCTCGTTCCTTAGGCCGCAAGCTCCCTACGGTCGCTTCCTGATCGCATGTCTCGCGCCGGAACCAAGAACCGATTTCCCTCCTACGCGCGACCGCAGCTTCATGAAAAACGCAACGCCTCGCGTCGTTCCGAACTAGAACCTGTCGTCGCCTGCTCCTCATCATTCCCTTCCCTGCTATCGACGCCCGTCTTTCGTGAAGCTGATTAGAAATCCAACTACTGATAAGCAAAAATAAGGAAAACGTAGACAGTATCTTGAATGGAATGAATCAAGATTCGCGCAGTGATCAAACATACTATGCTTCTCGTAGTACCGCGATGTAAACACCTCATACATGTTAATCGTTCGGATGATTCACTATACCAAACGAAGACGATGTCGAAACGCGCGTTGCTTTCGAATCTACATTCCCGAGACGCGGACGCTAAGCTCGACGCGGCGGGGCGCGACGTAGATGAGTACGCGCGGGTGAGTCGCTGATCGTTCATCGTTCTAGCACGCCGAAAACGTGAAAAGTGTAACGGCACGTGACACACGGCGCGGTTATTCGTCTCTTCGGTCGCCTTTGTGTCCCGGCCAAGCAGCCGTGGATCGCCTACCTCGTACGTATATTTAGTTTGCCCAGTAAAACAATGCAATTGGCCTCTAGGAAACGTTGTCCGTCCCACGGGCACTCGCCGTCAAAATACTATCCAATTTTACGATTCTACGAACGATTCCGATTATTTTCACTTCGCCGTTTAACGATTCCGCCCGATCGGTGGAATTGTTAAGCTCTCCCGTGCGTTTGATTCCGCTGCGTTGGACGTATGAGCTTTCTGCGTCGATTTTAACAACTTGATCGCTTCTAAGAAGTCCCACGTTAAACGGAAGATATTTTCGTTAATACACGTGCGTTTAGAATCTATACAGACACGGTTATTTTACATTGTACAATATTATGCTCTTTACGTTACGAATTATCGATATACATACTAATTATTTCCGATAGAACAAGTTCGTTACTGCAGATCATGATCGAGTAAAGATTTTATCACAACGATATGCGATATTATGCGATAGCGATAGTGAGAAGTGTACGCGTTCGCCAAGCGTTTAAAAAGAATTAAGTAGTTAGAGACGTGCCAGTGCAGACGTCGTGAGCGCGTGTCCGCGCGGCGATGCACGTCTCGCTAATGTCTGACACGAGAGCCTGATTCCAGCTAACTACTTGCGGCGGTCAGCGCGTGGTTCTCCAAACGCGTTACTCCGAAAGTCTATTAAACGTAATATGCTATCAGAGGTACACGTACTGTTTGCAAACCAACGATTTTCCACGTGCAAATTAGTCTCGAAGCGTTTACCGACTGACTCCCGTCAGAAGGGAGATCGAAAGACTGTCACCTCTTACTGATTAGAATTCCCGATTTCGATATGTTTATCAGCTCCCCTCGGTTGTCGAAACTTTTTCCCTTTTTAAACCAGTGATGCCGATATATCGCAATTTACACGCCCACGTAACGGTCAAACTGACAGCCGATCGGATGCCGATAGCGAAACGGCGGCTTTTAACATTGCCGCGACACCAGCGGGCATTTAACGTGCAGTAGTCATAAGCGTTGATTTACCATTGTCACGGTCGTTACTCCCGACACGGCGAACTTGTGGTTTTTCGCAATTCGACTATCGCTCGCAACAATGTAGCCGAACCAGTGACCGCACCTGCACACGCGTTCTACTACTCGCGCCGGTTATATTTGATCGTTCGCGTACTCTCTTCTTTCTCGCGCGAGCCAAGTATGTACGCGGAAAAGAAACGCCTGTCTTGCACTCGGCCGATTGCCAGACTATATTTACCTTAACGTGCCGATTACACCTGTAAAGTATCGTGCCGAGCACACGGGCTATACCCGACTGAACGCGTGCCTGCTCGCGAATATGAGTTCTGTCTGCGAGGAAGCACACGTGAATTAATGATTTAAGTGCGTGCGAATGACTCGATCAAATCAATCTAATTGTAGATCAAATTTACGGGATTAATCGGGTTCGCCAATTTGGTGAAATAAATGCGAACAGTATTTTCGAGGAAGGGAATGACGACGATGATGGTGGTAATTTCAAAATGAAATCAATACGGGATTAAATAGTTATTAGATGCTTAATAATGATGAGAGCTCGTTCATAAATCAATTTGGAGAGATTCAGTTTTTAATACAATATATATAGATTTGAACGTTCTGTAATGAAAATATTTCACGATCAATCATCGAGTTATAGCCTTTCGATCTTGCTCGTAACTCGAATCGATTGACTGAGAAGTAACGATAGGAGGTTGCGTCTGTCCCATCGCTTCATCATTCGCCCCTCGTCTCCATTCCGTCCTTAATACCGTACCCATTAACAATTTTCATTATCCGTTGCATGTGCTATTGTCTAAAAAATTTCATCGTAACCTCGATCGGCAAGATACTTAAAATGACAGTTAAAACTTAACGAGAGTTTGATTAAAATAAAGCAAGCCTGGAAACACCGGTCTAAAACGGAACGTGATACGATCCATCTCACCGTCACCACCACCATCACCACCACCACCTTTCAACCACAACCTGGCAGCCATCAGAGAGCATTCATGTAATTTCGTTGTGCACGCCGGGCAAAAGGACGGTCCCAAGGTCTTTGTTTCATTCTTATCCCTCTGTTTTTTTTTTGTTTGTTACTAGATGACTTACACTTGTTCCAGTGATCGTGGCGTTGCGTCGATTGATGCTCGAAGTTCCGATGATGGTCATGATTGTTGTTGGTGTCTGCTGCAATGGTGACCGGGTGGTACGGTGCAGTTGGTAGATGGATCGTCGTCGATCGATCTTGGAGATCGTGATCGCGATCGTGATTGTGATCGACGACTAGATGCCTGCCGGTGGTAGCGCGCTGATGGGTGGCCGCAGCATCAACTGCGGCTGCTTCCGTGACCGTATCTTCCACGGTACGCATCGTACGCACGATCAACACTCTCGCGTCTCGTTCTTATTCGTCTCATTCACCAAACCCAGCCGGATACACCGTCAGGGATTCTGCCACGATCTCGTGTCTCTCCTCTCCTTCCGTTCTCTCCTTTCAACTGTCCCCGGCGCGCGGATGAAGATCGATGGCCGCGGCAATCGCGACCATCCTACGATCTCTCGCACTTTTCCTTTTCGTTTGCTTCCTGCCTTTCCTGCTGGCTGACTCTTCACGTCCTTGTGCACGTGCGACCGCGCATGTGCGCGATCACTACGCTAAACGGAAAAGCGAGTTGAAAAATGTTACACGTGATTTCGTTCGCCACGACGGTCGACTCTCGCGATGCACGATCTCGGTTAACGGAAAAATGGAATACCTGATACGCGACGATTCGCGTGTCGCTGAAGTAATACCTTGAACTTACGACTGGTCTTTGGGTAGATTGAAACATTAAAAGACAATAATCGTTCGTGAAAGTGTGAACGTGAGAAAAGTGCAAGGTGGACGAGTAAAGGACGATGAGCGACGGGTGAGAGCGAAAGGGGATGAAAGAACCGTGGCAAGGAGTACTGCGGCGGCGATCGATAATTCTCACGAGTTGTAAACACCGGTTATATCAGTCAGAAATACGTGGAATTCCTCGACTATGTTATTATCATTATCGGCATCGGCATCGTGTCGGGTGAAGCGAAAAACGGGACAAAAAACGAAACGAGTGGCGAGTGCTCATATATTACGTGATTCCAGCCCAAAGTCGCACGCACACAACTCACCCACAACACACGAAAAACAGTGATGACACACGTGTAGGTATCACCGACCTGTCTGCGTTGTCGTAGGGCTAGATGAATCCTTCTGGAATAGGTCTTCGGAGGTAAGCACTCCACCGAGGAGCTCGAACACTTCTCGCATGCAGAATCCTGTGTTACGTTCCTCGGTTTAATACGAAAATTTATCGTTCCTCCCTCCCAACGGGCGACATCGTTCTTCTCACTGTAATCGTTGTTACGTTCTCCAAAACGGAGCCGTTCGAACCGGTCGCGTCGACGGATCCCTTCAGCATCGGCTCGTCGTACACTCTTCACACCGATCGAATCGTGTCTCCGAATGTTCTTACGTCGGAAATATCCAAACCGATGTTCGTGTCGCGCGTCCGCAAATCGCAGCTTAACGGGAAGCTGTCAGAAGGTAACCACGAGACACAGGCCGAACCGCGTACACGCGGAACCACGCGCGTTCGAACGCGCTAGCAAACTCCCTCTCTCCCGTTGGTCACGCGAAACTCAAATACGAACGTCCTTGGCTGTGCACCACCTTTTCTTCCTCGTTCGCGTGTGTAATCCCCAGTTTTCTTACACTTGACACGCTCTATCTCACGATGCACGAGCTGCTTACCACACGAAACTGGCGTTGACACAGTCGTTGACACGGATATTAAAAACCGTACGATTAATCGACGTAATCCGATGGACAATCGAGAGAATTAATTGAAGAATGAAAGATGTGTGAGAGAAAAGAGAAAGAGAGAGAGAGAGAAGAAGAGAAGTGAGGAACAACGCGGGCACGTTTTGCAAGAAAACGATACGCTCTTGCACGGGTGGCCGGCCGCCGCGTAACTGAGTCCGGATCGCGCGCGTTCCTCCGCTATATTAAAACCGTAGCGTGTGTAGCGGCGGCGGTGGTGGCGAACGGCGCTAACGATGACGTCATCTCGGACGTCATAACACACACGACAGCAGCCGGTGGATCGATGGACCTGGCTCGAGTGAGCGTCCCTATTGGCTCACGGGACTGATGATGTCGTTACGGTGACGTCAGCACGCCACCCACCAAACCACCCGTCTTCCACCACGCTGGTCTCGCCAACCCCATGCAAGTTAAACTGATCTAACACGACCCGACTCAACCGATCATCCTTTTCTTCCTCTCTGTTTTCTTTTCCTCCTTCTTACGTTTCCGACACATTCTACGCTTCCGACATCCTCTCTCCTCTCGTTCCTTTTCTTGGACATCGGTTTAGTTCTATTTTCTATCGGCGTCCCGTTCTCTCTTTCGTTGGCTTCCTCGCCGTCTTTGGCCCCGCTTCAGCTGGTGGTTGCGCGGCGCACTCTTGGCACCAATCATTGCTTTTGAATTATCGATGAGCCACGGGTAAAAATGGACTACCGTCGAAACTGACAGATGAAAATTGAACTTGGATAATATCGTTTGTCAACCCTCAACGGAAGTATCGAATAATGGTCGTTAATTTCGATTAGATATAGCAACGGTTTCCATGATCAAATTACGACAAAAGAAGAGCTACGTTGCACTCCAAAGAACAAAATTATTTCGTCTGTTTCTGACGTCGAATATACGACACGGAATATCGTATAAAATCGAAATGAGAAGTGTCATCGTAAGCTGATAGATCTCCTCGATACAACTTGGTTCTCCGATCAGCTATTGCAGTATAATTACGTTATAAATCAATCGTAACGTAAACGGTCTCTAATTACCGCGATACCATTCGCAATTATTCACCTCCGCCCGTCAATCTAACACGCCGTTTATCCGTCAATGGACCAGCCGCAGATTGACGCACAGACGCGTGATTAAACGAACACGGAAATCCTTTGCGAGTGCTCCTTGATGACCACGAGTCCGGAAATAATGCCAATTAAACTGCATCTTCTGCTACTCGTGGCATGGAACTACGTCATAATTCACCCTCGTTCATCAGCAGCCGCGTACCAGCTCGTCGTAATCGTTTGTTTCTGTGTACGTGCGCGTGGGTCACTGGTAGACAGAGGCGTCAGCGTGAGAACGGCGCAGGTCAGACAAAGATGCCGCGCGCGAACAGGGGATGAAGAGAGAGAACACGATCGTCGACGACGATGTAACGGAGAGAGACGGAACTACGATTCACCACCGGGGGGTGCCGACGTCGTCGCATCACTCTCTTCTTCCGTTCCCGACTCCACCACCTCTGCAACCTTCATTCATGGATCACTCGACTGGCACGCCGCAGCTCCCCCCGTGCCAACCAACAGCCCCGTCCCTACCCCCGGCCCGAACCACCGGCCCTGGTGACTGGTGCACGCGTGCGGTAGAGCGGAGGCGTAAGCATGAGCCGACGTCGCCCCAGTTAATCACCCGTGAGACGAGCTCACTTCGACACGTGACGAAACACCGGTATCGTGTCGGCCACCTGTAAAACGTGTACTGATCTGGAAGAGGAAGGATAAGGTCGTTCGATCGGTTCGCCGGACGGTCTCTTGGGAAGAATTCAGCCGCAACGAGAAACCCCGGAGTGTGTGAACTCAGCTTGGACGCTGATCTGAATAACGTTCCTTAGATGATCTCATGAAGAAGTTTGTAATCATAAATAACCGAGCTCACCGTTACTATAATAAGTGTTAAAAATATTGAAGAGACAAATGCACTTTCCTTCAGAAGAAGATAAATAGACATAGACAAAATATATATCCATTTTTGTCAATCACAATAATCTGCTGCATAGGAAAATTAGTTTAAATAATAAAAGGTTTATTAAGGCTGTATTGGCTATACAGTCAATCCCACAAGTTTATGCACTTTAGAAACGCATTTTTTAAAAAGAAATCAGACGTCGGAAGAACATTGCTAATAATAAACAACAAAAAAATTTTTTCGGTTTTTCCGAGATTTTTCCAAGGGGTATCCCTTCAATTTCTTCCAAATTTTCGTTTTTGGCCAATAACTCCCAAACCGTTGGATATACGGAAAAATTGTATATGACCTTTCTTGTAGAGGATGATGAGATCTACAATTTCTATGTAAAAATTTTTCGCTAGCGTCAATAGTTAACGAGTAATTTGCAAAAAACTATTTTTTCGTTTTTCGTCAATAACTCGTTAAATATTATTGCTAGCGAAGAATTTTTATACAGAAATTGTAGATCTCGTCGTCCCCTACAAAATGGTCCTATACATGCCCCCCTACATCCATCCGTTCGGGAGTTATTGACAAAAAACGAAATTTATTTCCAAAAGTTCGCCGTTTCGACGCTGGGATGGTCGGATTTTGTCAACATCAATAAAATGCCAAATAATCATACGTAACTCGTTAAATATCGAAGTTAGAAGGAAAACAACTTTTATTTGAAGCATTTTTCACAATTTTGTTCATATGCCTTTTGGTATACCACGCTAGTTAAACAAGATGGATAGTTCATTGTTTAGCAGATTGTGTAAGATTAAGCGAACAACGTCCTCGCTAAATCTTATTGCGAGAGAAGTGACTATTTATAAAGTCTAGCCAACATGTATGCATAATTTAATGCAACGTTCAGATTACGTCATTCAGATTAATTAAATGATGGTGAATTTTGTTTTCTGCCGTCCCGAAGATGCAGACGTTTATAGAATCGAAGGTCGTTTTATTCGCCACCTGCGAATCGAGTACTGATCTAGGATAGTCTGGAGAGGGTAAGGTCGTTCGATCGATTCACAAACTGGAATCTTCCGGTGGGACGTCGTGGGTGAAGGTCGCCGTGACTATCAAAACGATTGGTTGCACGAGACAACGTACTGCGACGAGTTTTGTGTGTCGCGTTAAAAAAAAAAAGAAGAATGAAGAGGAGGTGGAAAAAGGAGAATTAAAAAAGTTGTTTGCCTCGGCACGCTCTAGTGACACAGTGGCGAACTGGATGATAGATTCAGAATTTTTGGGACTTCAAGGAAATCGATAAAACTAGCATTATTCAATAGTTCATAAATATGCAACGGTACGGTAGAAGAACTCCTGGCTATCGTTGAAACG